CCTCGTGTCGATTGTCGAGGCGGTCAAGGGGCACGGGACCCTGTGAGCTATTGGTGCCCGAGAAAGGTTCGGGACGAGCCGAGGCTTCCCTGTCTCCGCGAGGTGGTGGTGCCGTGGGCAGGTTCGAGACGCCCCGTGCGTCGGGAGGCGAGAACTCTTGGCTTCTTGAACCGCATGGCGGTCTCTAGGAGATCTCGGAGTTCGCGCGGACCCGCCGCCCTTCCGTAGAAGGCTCGGGCATTGCGTGAACCAAAGATCGCGCTGGCCGCAACGCGTTACAGCTAGCGCGATTGAAGATCGGGGTTGCTCACTTCTTCGTCGTTATGGATGCGGTGATGTACGCCGAGGGCCCTCCGTCGGGCTCCCCCCGCCGCCGCGACCTCATTGTTCCTATTCGAGGGAGTCTCGTCGCCTGAGATGGAGTTGGTCTTGCTCGACCTTGGCACGGAGCTCACGGAGCTGTTCTAGGTGCAGGTCTTTGAGGTCGCGCATAAGAGCGACGTTCTCATTTCGTCTTGGCCGGCGGGACGACGCGTGGAGGTGTAGCGACGCTTGCGCCGGGGTGAGCGGGCGGGAACCGCCCCTGCCCCCTCGTCCTCTTCGCCCGCCCTCGGCATCCCGAGCCCGACATGAAAACATTCGCGAGTGGGGTCGTGAGGTGCCCTCGTCGTTGGAGTCTGAGTAGCCGGAAGCGATGAGTCGCTGCGGCCAAGAATTGGCGCAAAGCCCTGTGGCTGTGGAGTTCGGAGAAATCCACCGGGCCATGCCTCAAATCCTCGCCCGAGGAGTGCGAGTGGGTGCTCGAGGGAGAGCGAAGCGTTGGTGGCGTTCGAGGGTGCTCGTGGCGGCGGTGTAAGCGTGAGACATAAGAAGCGGTGGCATTTCTCAACCCAAAGGGGTATGGGGGCGGTGCCGTCTCTAGATTCTCGCCACGGGGTCGGCTCTTCGAGGAGTGGTAGGCGGAGTCGAACGATTTGGACATCACCGCGTGCCATAGGCAAGTCTCCTTTGTCCAAGCTCAGCTAGACAGTCCCCTGACCGGGGACCCCTGTGCCAACAATTTGGTCGAGGATATTGGCGGGGGGTGGCGCGTCGCCCGGATTCGCGTAGAAGCGTCGGGGTGGCCTTGTTCGTGCTTGCGTGCTTGGCGAAGGCGTGGCGAGAGCTGCGCCGGACGCCGCCGCCGCTGCTGGCTGCCCGGGCGTAACTTCATCGTTGGTTGGTGGGGCTCGAGGGTGAGGAGCACCATGTCATACTCATGCCCTAGAGACATGAACTCTAGGCTCCCGAACCAAACCCACGGTCTTGAGAGACGCAATGGTCGTGACGTGGGTCCGCCATGCGAAACCTCTTTGGGATGATGACGAAACCGACACGCATGCTAGCCCCCTACGCGCGCGCGCCATCCTCGTTTGTGTTTTGGACCGGGGTCCTCAACCAACTAGTGAATTTGTTCGTGTGCTCCCGATCCGGATGGTGATGCAAAGAGACACAAGGTTTATCTTTGGTTCGAGCAATCGAGGCCCTACGTCCGATCCCGAGAGATCGATCTTGTATTCCTTGCACCGAGGTGCTCGTAGTAGGGGTTACAAGCTAAAGGAGAGAAGGAGCTAGTCCTAGGTCTCGGCAGGGTGTCGTGCGGGCCGCTTGAGACGTTGCTCTCAGGCGGCAGGATTGTGCGTGTGTGTCTATCTTTCTTCCCCCCCTAAAACAACCCAGTCCTCTCCTTTTATAGCATGAAGGGAGGACTAGGGCGGTACATGAGCTAACTATACGGCGTCGTGCGCGAGCAGAGGGCGTGTACGAGCCTCGTAGCCTGTTCTGTGGCGGGTGTGGCCGTCGGAGTGGTCCATCCTTGGAGCCTTTGGGCGGCGTGGTCATCCCATCAAATCACGTGCGTCGTGGGAGCCCGGGAATGCCTCGGAGTGGACGCGGCGGCGAACGCAAGCCAGCGTGGGCGGGATTTGTCGCGCGAGGGCGAAACTTGTCGTCGATGCCGAGGCCGGCTGCGGTGGTGGTGGGGGTCTCGGCGGCGCGAACCCCAAGATCGCCGAGGCCCGGTGTCTGATCTGCGAGGCCTTGAGCGGGCGGCCGATCATGGGTACGAGTGTTTGGACACAAGTGTTCGGTAATCCCGCTGCATTACTGTCCCGGCCGGTATGGCGGCGATCGTGACACGATGGTAGGACACACAAGTGGCCTCAGAACCCGTCGACACATCCTAGCCGGTATGGCGGCGATCGTGGACACAGTGGTAGGACACAGTGGCGATAACCCGTCGTACCTGTCCGGACGGATGGAGGATACGTCGACTCCTCGGTCGCGTCATCATCTGTGGCGTTGAGCCACCGTTCACTGAGATTGGGGAGTGGTTGAAGCCTTAATGAGACATGACGAGTTGTTGGGAGGGTCGGCCGAAGTGGGGGGGTGACGGACGCGGATGAGCCGACCTTGAGCGACACGGAGAATGAGGCCTTGCGCGAGGCGGAAATCGGGTTCCTTATCGAGGCCTCGGCGAGACGCCCTCGCGCGATCACGGAGAATGTACCCGCCGAGGCCTTCACAGGTAGCCTCGGGCGAGACGGAGACGGCGCGCCCCGCCGAGGCTTGGTGCCCCTACCGAGACCTACCACAGGGAGCCTCGGCGAGGTGAGTTTGTTCGAGACCTCTGCGCCGAGGCTCGAGGCGAGGTGGGCTCGGTCATGGCAGGTAAGGGGCCCACGGTCTTATCTTCTAGCTTTATTTTGATGTTTGCTTGGGGTACCCCGTTCTAAGGTACCCGACAACTATTCTCTCCGTTCTAAATTTAAGATATTTTGTTTTTAATACACCGCTTTTCTTATGTATTTAAACATAGCGTATATCTAAGTGTACAACAAAAGCAATGTATGTAGAAAAAACTAAACCATCTTATAATTTAGAATGTAATAGTAGTTTGGTTGGGAACTTAAAATTAAATCATTTTTATCTTATTTGTTTTGGATATCTAGGTCTAGGTTCTCCTAGAATTTAGAGGGGTGTTCGGCTGCCATTATAAGTCGACTTAAGTTATGGTACAATATTTTTCTCTTCCAACAAATCAACCATACACTTCAGCATAAACAACTTTACGAGGAGCTGACCACGGTACGTGGCGTTAGTTAGAGCCCGTTCGGCCGGGCTCCGAGCGGCTCCGGCTCCTCTAACTCCTCCTCTGTCCATCTCCTGTAGCGACACTGTTCACCGGAGCCGTTTTTCTCTCTCCTCCTTTCCTCTCTCACTGACAGCTCCGGAGCCGGAGAAGCTCTTTTTTTTTTCGTCCGGCTTCAACTCCTGCGCGCTACAGTATGAGAGCCAGAGCCGACCGGAGCCCGGCCAAACGGGCCCTTGTAACCGCAAAACTGAAATACGAGTAGTATCTGAACTCGGGAAGCATAGCATAGTGCCGGTAGTGCGACACAAACCTGCAAACGCCATTCTTTTTGCTCTCCTGCGGACCAGCACATGCCACCGCCAAAGGCAGACAAAGGGGCGACCGATCCTGCACGCCGCTGACACGATACAGGCCCTACCGTCCCCATCCATTGGCACGCGCACGCCCTGGCCGGTTGGCCCTGCCCCCAGCCTCCAACGGATATTTTCTCGGCTCCGCTCCTCCCTGGCCTCCCGTCCAGGTCCAGCCGTCCTCCGGCCTCATGGGCCTCCGCCGGAGCCGGACTAGTGGCGCGCGCGCGAGGGGCCACGCCGACCCACCACCGCGCGGAGAAAGCCCAGCTTTTTCCGGCCCTGGCTGCGGTGCAGGAGGGAAAGAAAGGGTGGCGCGCATCGCATCGGCCTCCGTGGCGCGCTCACGTGCCCGGCTTTCCCCATCCCCCGCCCCCCAAACTACTCACTCCCCTAGTCCCCTCCAGGCTCCAGCTGACTGATTAAAGTAATCGCCTACTACTCCTACGGTAAACAACATTTCAGATCCGATCTCGGGTCCCACTTAGAGGACGAGATCGACATCGTAGGCCCCCGGCTCGTGACACCCACACACACGCAGCTCGCAAGCTGGACCACCGCCGTCGGCACTGCGCGGCTCTCGTGGTCGTGGCAGGGTAAAAACCCTTACGCCGTCGGCACTGCGCGGCTCTCGAATGTCGTGGCAGGGTGAAAATTAAATTAGACGAAAGAAAAAATAATTGCACAGTTTGGTGGGAAATTGCGAGACGAACGTTTTGAGCCTAATTAGTCCATGTTTAAATACTATTTGCCAAATAAAAACGAATGTGCTACAGTAACCCCAAAATCCAAATTTCGCGAACTAAACAAGGGCTTAGTGAATTAGTGAATGTGAAACAGCGAGAATGTTTGTCGTTTCTAACCTTTTTCACCCCTTGTTCACCGCAGCCGGGGCTGGTTTGATGTGAGAGAGATGCCAGTTTGATGTGAGAGAGATGCCTTATAAGCCAAATAAGACCCGTGGTCCAGTGGAAAACGGACGAGTAAACAAACGATCGATCCCCCGGCCCCGAGTGATAAGGATGCGTGGCGAATAAAGGGACGCGCTGTCGAAATCGAATCAGATAACAGATCTCACCAAACATAAGCAAGCAGGCCAGCAGCAGTAACAATTAGGGAATTCAATTCCAATGTATTGTTGCAGACAAAACATGGTGGTTGATGACGATGATAGATGATAGATGGATCTCCACCGATCTAAGCAAGCGAAAACAAATTTAAACCCCAACCTCGTCCCCCGGAATGATCCTTCCACCAAAAAACTAAAATTAAAATTGAAAGCTACTAATAACAAGAAAAAAGAGTAAACGAGAGAAGCATAGTTCCTAGTAGTATCTTCTTCTCTAACAGGTCAAATTTTACTTCTTGAAGTCGCCGAGTAGCCTGCTCTTCTTACCTCTGCTGCTGTGCTTCTGCCAGATTATTTCTTCTGCATCTTCTTCCTTCCTCCCTCTCCCCTCTTGCGGTGGGTGAGTAGTAATTGATTGGTGGTGATGTCGTTGATGTGTAATCTTACACTATTTCGCCTCCTCGGTGGAGACGACAGGCTTGCGGAGGAGCACCATGTGCATGGGCGTGAAGATGCCGGTCTCGCCGCCGCGGGTGAGGTGCTGCGCGGTCTCGTACAGCATCTCGTGCACCTCGGAGACGCCCTTGGGCGCGATCCGGAGCATGGTGAGCACGCGGACGACGAGGGAGTTGCGCCAGTAGGCGACGCGGCCCATCTTGAGGCGCGTCCACCAGGGCAGGGCCGGGGGCAGCGCCAGGTCCTGCTCCTTGACCACCTCGAAGCCGACCTCCTTGGCGATGGACGAGATCTCGTCCTGGCGGCGGAGCCCCGGGAGCGCGTCGCCGCGCTCGATGCCGTGGATGCACTCGACGTGGTCTGGGTCCTCGGCGCGGTACAGCGGGGTGGTGACCCACTCGTAGGAGACGTAAAGCCCGCCAGGCTTGAGCACGCGGTAGACCTCGCCGTAGACGTCCTGCAGCCTGGGCGCGTGGCAGGTGGCCTCGATGGAGTAGGCGCCGTCGAAGGAGGCGTCCGGGAAGGGCATGGAGAGGAAGTTGCCGCAGACGACCTCGCATCGCGAGGAGTCGAGGCCGGCCTTGCGGTTGTGCGCGCGGGCGCGGTTCACCTGGTATTCGTTGATGGTGATGCCGACGACGTTGGATCTCGAGTGCGCGGCGATGGCGCGCATGGGCCCGCCGACGCCGCAGCCGACGTCGAGGAGGCGGTGGCCCGGCCTGGCGCCGAGGAGGTCGGCGACGCGCTCCTCGTGGACGCGCGTGGCGTCGCGGTGGGAGCGGCCCGGGAGCGACGGGGAGAAGTGGAAGGACTGGCCCCAGCCCCACTCGTAGATGTCGGTGACGAGGTTGTAGAAGGTGTCGACGAAGGCCGGCACCTTCTCCGCCGACGCCGCGGTGGTGGCCGTCTCCTTGGGCCGGCGGAAGAAGGACCAGTACTGAGTGTACTTGTCCTGCACCTTGTCCCGCGTGATGGATCCCATCTTGAGATCCACCGCCCGCTTCCCCTTCACCTCCGCCGCGCCCATCACCCACACGAACCAGTACACCAGCCCCACCCCGACCACCGCCGCCGTCCACGCCATCGTCGCCGCCTCCATTCCCGCCGGCCCGAGGGGCCTCCCTCTTCAACAGCGAGCAGCGAGGAAGGGGGGCTAGGAGGAGGAGGGGGAGAGGAGAGGAAATGAACAGGAGGACCAGGGGATTTGGCTGGGCTCAGGATAAAATAGCAAGCGGGGCAGAGAGCGCGTGAGCAAGGCGATTTTTTGCTGCAGTACAGCGCTGAGCGCGGCGCGTGTGGGGGGCGGCTGCCTGTGCTGCGAGCCTGCGATCTGATCGGACGGCTGCGCCGAGGCCGAGGCGTCGGGGGTGTTGCGGCTGCCGAGTTTTTTTATGGGAGGAAGGAGCCGTGATCTTTTTGGCCGTGCCGTGCCAGCGCCAAATGGTTTGCCCCGTGCGTCGGCGAGGTGGGAAGAGAGATCGCGGGCGGTGGGCTCCAGCCAGCCAGATTGTTTTCGGCGCGGGGCGGGGGGCACGAGGCGGGCGCTCCCCTCGCGCTGGCAGTCTCTGGCACGGCTGGGATGAGAGGCCCGGTTGGCATGGACAGCCTGCCGTGCCGCCATGTGCGTGGTGATGTGCCTGGGCCTTGGGCCTTTCGTCAACCCCACGCCCCCACCCGGTGACACGCGCAAACAGTTGCCTTTGCCTAAGGCCTCGTTTAGGTTAGGAGTTAGGAATCAGTATTTGACACGGTAGTACTTTCGTTTGTATTTTATAATTATTGTTCAATCATAACTTAACTAGGCTCAAAAGATTTATCTTGTAATTTACAATTAAACTGTGTAATTAGTTATCTTTTTATATATATTTAATACTCCATACATATATCTAAAAATTTGATGTGACAAAAAAAAATAAAAAAACTTTGCAATCTAAACAAGACCTGATTCAAATCTCCCTCATCGCTTAGGAGTTCAGACCGCATGCCGCCGTATGGGTGTTGCCTGTTGCGTGGTCGTGGCATCTGACTCGACCACGGAACTAGCTTTGTTCGTTGCAGGCGGCAATGGGATATGGTAAGACACGGTGCAACTATGTGTGTTTATTCATCCCCGCGGTTCAGAGGACAAAACGGCCATTTCATTTCACACACCTGTTGTCCAAAAGTCAATGAGGCACGATAATCATACTAGTTTATCACAAGACATCCTGTGGCAGAAACATCCAAACTATGCTGGTCCACGTGTCCTCATCATTATCTTAAAGACCTCTGACTGTTGTACATGAAAGCCGAATAATCCGGTAGTTTGTCGGATTTCCTTGGAGAACCCCGAATCATCCACATTTTATAACTCATACATGATCAACAATGAAGTTACCGCAACATTACAATATTGATACAAAAGTTTTATACAACAGAGTTGCGGAAGGCTTATAGCATTAGTTTACGAAACATGTTTAAGTAAAACTTAACTTTAGATCCAAAAGGTGAATAGGACCGTGGAAGCAAATTAGAAGCACCTAAGGTAGAAGAGACATCCAGATCATGTCGAGCCCACCGACGTGACCTTGATTAACAGCACAAGTCAAAACCTACAACAGGGGTTAACAAACCCTGAGTACTTGAGGGTATTCAACAAGACTTACCCGACTAAAAGAAAAGATTTCAAGGGTATGAAGGCTTAAAGGAAAGTCTGAAGCAAGAAGTAACTTTTTACATAAAAGCTTACTATGAGTGGATCCTTACTTTCAATATTTAGCTTTGTATTAAGTGTATCCATAGTATCCAGTTTGCACCTGCTCTAGATCAAACACTTCATAAATCATCTCAACATGTGATCATAAGTATCAATGTTTCATTAATTAAACTACGATGTAGATCGGAGAATCGAGTGTCCTTCTCCGAGAAGCAACGACGATTCGAATCAATAAAAATCCAGCTGGGGATTTCCAACCACACGACATATGCAGGTCCTGACCCTACATATATCAACCATTCATACGGATCTTTCAAAACATAAACCGGATCACACCACCCGGGAGCACAGTACTCCACCGCCCTGCTCCGTCCCTGACGGTTATCTTGCAGGGTCTATACACACTACTCCCGCCATTTCTCCACTCCTAATGTGCGTTATCAGTTCGCATAATGAAATAACTAAGGTACTCAGCTTTCCGGAGTATGTGGCTAGTACTACAAAGTCTCGACTCACATAGGTCTACAACGGTACAGTCTTCAATCGACACAGGCGGAGCACTACATAGAGACTCCATTCTCAATGCAAGCTACCCGCTATAACACCCTCGGTGTTACACCCTAAATCAATTATTAAAACATGTCATGAGCATCATGTTTATATGTTAATACATGTGATAAAGTGTATAGATCAATTTCTGTAACTCAAAATGATCAATAAAAATGCTAAACGAAAGTTGATTCGATAGTTCATGCATATCAAGTAGGGTTTAAAACCAATTTTTATTAAGCAAAAATACTATAGAACATGTGTGTGATACTTAAATAAAGTTAGAAGTGTAAACTTTGTAGATGACAATGAAATGCTTGCTGTTGAAAAATCATATTGCTTAGTAATATTTTAAATAACCTAGAAATGCAATTTGAAATAGAGTTCAACTAAAAAAACTTAGAAAAATTTCAGCTTGTGTACAGCTGGGCATTGCTAAGTTTAGCAATTTATTTAGAGAGATTGCATTAGAGGGTGATACGGTGTTTGAGCTCGGCTGAGCAGCCTCATTTATCAGTTTGATCGTGGTGAAGTCGGTTTCAGTTTAGAGACAATGGTTTAGTTGTAGTCGTTGCTTTTAAAATCCATGCACAGCACGTTCTTAGGCTCACCCTCTGGGCTGGGTGCGGTCATCAGGTCGCGGGGCGCAGTGTTGGTGCGCTCTGCGTGCGCACGCGTGCTGCCGCGCTTGGCCGGCCTAGTCACCTTGACCCGACCACGAGGAACTGCCGTTGTTGTGGCTTGCCCGGCTGAGCGGCGCTGCCCCAGCCCCGTGTACTGCCGCGCCATCGACCCACCTCGCGCCGCAACGCCACCGCTGCGCATTGCTTTGTCACATCACGTCGCGGCACACACATTTCATTTGCATCGCGACTACGTCGTCGCTGCCGCGACTGCCGTCTTTGCGTCATTGCCCACTTTGATGCCACGCAGCAGGCCGGACCCATGATCGCCATGCCATTTATGGCACTACGACGCGTGGGCCACGCCGGTCGTGAGCATGCGCGCTTGTCGGTTAGCGTTTGGCCGCGAGCCTCGCTGATCGCATCAACCGCGTCCCGCCAAGGCTCGCCTCATCGAGTCACTGGCCGCACCCCGTGTCTCTCTCTCTCTTTCCTTTTCTCTGCTGCCGCTGCTGAGACGCGCCAACGCGCCTGCCTGCGAGGGGTCGTCTCCCATCAATTCCATGCACCCACAGCTCCATCCTCACATCCTCTCATCAACCACCCCTACCCCGCCTTGATTGCTGCCAGGCCAAGCTCCAATTTGGAGCTTTGCTCCCGCCACCGTGCCACTAAGGCCCAGCCCGCCTCACCGTGGCCAGCTCCAACCTCGACATCTCGCGTCGAATTGACCGCACCACTAGCCTCCTCCTAGAACCCCTCTTCGTCGTGCACACCCAAGTCGTAGCCCTATAGCCGCCTCCACGCCGCTGACACGACCGTGTCGCTGCGGATCACCGTCGAGCTCGCCGTGCGCACGTCTATTATCTGTTACACGCTGTGGCTCACCGGAACACGGTTGCCGCCGCTATAGGTCGTTCGCCGCCAGGGAGAACCTGGTCTGCTTCACCTCTGTTTGTGCAACCATCGCCCATCATCGCGTGTCGGCCCATAGGTGAGCATCGGTCCCATAGCTAGGTCTGTAAGGGTCCCGGTTGGCCGGCGTAACGGGGACCTCCCCGATGCAAAGAGCTTCTCTCAGGGTCTTTCGTGCATAAGTGATGACTGAGTAAATAGGACAAATAGTGGCTACGAGAATAGTAGGTAGCTCGGAGGCGTTTTCGCAAAAACGCCAGCGCGCGCGGGCTCCCCACTGTGGGCAGCCTCCGCGTGTGGGCCACGCCCCGTGTGGGCCGCGTTGGGCTAGTTTGGTTCGTCTTTTTAGTAAAAAATTAGAAATGGTTTTGTATTTTATTTAAGAACCAATTTTGTGTAATTAATCTAAAATCATGTAGATGTGCAAAAATTATGAAATAAATTTTGTTAGACTACTGAAATTATTCTCTATCTGTTGGCGTATTTATTTTGTGCAAATATATGTTGACTTTATGAGCCATTAAATTAATTAAGGATGCTTAATAATATTAGTTTAAATATTGTGGGAATTTTTGTGGTAAAATGATGATAGCTTTAGCTTTGATAATTTTACAGTAGCTTCATTGTATTATTATGTGCTCTCTGTAATTTTTGTAGCCCTAGAATAGGCTAAGCACTAGGATAGTTAAGTGCTCCTTGTTGTAATATAAGTTAAATCGCTAATAAGAGTAAAATTACATTTTAGTTGCTAAGTTAATACTTGTTAGATGAATCCATACCTGTTTTGGTGAAAATGATAGGTAGTTAGTATCTTAGCCATTAGAGCTAGCTTAGTGGCTTAGTAGATGTATTCTTATTTTAAGAATTGATGTTGCCTTAATATTAAGGGTTGCATCGTCATTGCATGCATATAGAGAACGAGTTGGTAAAGTTCGTGACCACCGGAGAGCAGGAGTACGAGGAGGTGATCGAGGAGTATGAGGAGAAAGTTCTCATACAGGAGGAAGCCTTAGAGCCACCAGCGACTGGCTTAGCTGACACCCCGCCTGCCCAAGGTAAGCTCCGGTGCATAACCCTTATTTTGAATAATCACTAGATATATATATGTGATGTGTATTTACGTTACAGGATTTATATTGAAACTACATGCATAGATAAACCTACCTATGAGTCCTACTAGCATAGGTCGAGTAGCTGCTATGCTTATGCTATCAGTAGCGTGAGTAACCTACCGTTACTCACAATAGGTGATTATTATTATTGCTCCCATGATAAAATGGTAAAAGGAAATAGAGACCGGGCAGGGGTATGGTACGG